GGGGCTAGGTGCAGCCCCAGCTAGAGGGTGAAGGGGCTAGGTGCAGCTCCAGCCACACAGTGCTGCTTGCTCGAAATGACCGACAGTAAAGATGCTGTCTGGACACTAGAAAGGAGTAAGGCTTGACCGTTACAGCTTGGGGGAGGATGCCAGGAAAGAACCAAAGTTTTTGCTTCTGAAAAGATAAAGTAAGTCTCTCATCAAGAATAGAGAATGGGGAACATGTGGTGGTTGAAGGACAGAGAGACTAACGGGCCTTGGCAGGGAATTGATCAGAGATCATGTAAATAAACAGGTCCCGATGACTTTCAAATCAGATTGCCGATTATTGATGATTCTGTTCTGAGGTGCTAAAAATAACGTACTTTTGTTACTGTAGAAAACTACACTTAGTGATTTTTTTAGAACGCTGTGAGCCGTTAGTGTCTGCTTCATTATGTCTGATGCCAAAGGACACAGAAGGAAGGTTTAGATTTTATTATGGGAGTAGTTCTGGGTCATTATTTTAACACTGATTTCATGTTTACAGCTCTTTGCTTCTTTCTTTTCAACCACCATTGTGTGACTTTCCATTTTCTGTTACAGGGAGAAAAAACTAAACAAAGTGAATAAGCAAACAACAACAAAACTCTTACCTTACATTAACAAGACTTGCATTCGTGATTAGAATTATAAATCTGACTGAAGTGCCAGCTGGGTCCCAAAGCTGCCAGCGACTCTAAGCAGAGAGGAGCTCATGTCACCATCGTCCTGTTTAACATCTGAACATTTTATTCGAAACAATTTAAGAATATATATGTATATTTAAAATTACTGACTTTTACCCTAATAGGGCACTTTTTAAATGATATCCATGGCGGAATTGGAGGTATATTTTACAACCAAATGTATTTGAACAGTCGTCAAGCTTAAATGAAGAACTAAAACATTTATTCATCATTAGAAAATGTCTATATTTGCAAATTAATATACATCATTTCTTAAGATAATGACTCAATCAGTGTATGTTTTTTAAGGATAATATGACTCATTTCCAGATAGACAGCAGATTGCATGAAGATAGTTTTTTATCTGAAGACAGCTTCAAACCGTCTGCTAAACAACTTCTGTCTGGCTATGAAAATCTGAACAATGTAAATTCATCTAAAAGTTTTACAAATTAATGTTAGCGTATAAAGTAAAGTAATGGGTTCCATTATAGTGTCTTTACACTTGTGTGGAATTATTCTTTGATCTCATCCATTACGTGTCTCCTGCTCTCTCCTCATGACCCCTTCTTCCCCTCCCCCCTCCATCTCTCTCTCTCTCCAGGTGCCCTTTCTTGCTTCTTATCCCTTGCATTCCATCGCCCTCTCAATTCATTCCCTCCATCAATATCTTTTATTCCCTCCCATGATTTCTGTTCTAACTTTGTACCTACACACATGTATCCATTTGCGCATGTATAATTCTCAGTATAGGTTCTACTCATGAAGTCAACATGTGGGATTTGTCATTTTGATCTGGCACATGTCATACACCATAGTGATTTAGAGTCTCTGTCATGTAGCATGTACTGTGTTTTCTTCATTCAGTTGTCTGTTGATGGAGAGCCAAACTGGTTCTATTTGCATAGTTGGGAAATGACCATCACTGGGTATTTCTGGGGTATGTTAGAGTTCTTTGTATACCCAGAGCTGAGTCCGGTGCCAGAGCGGTTTTCTGGTGTGTGAAGAGTTTCTAGAGTTTCTGTACCATCTTAGTTTCCCTTTTGCGGTGAGGAAGTGTCCTCCCTTCTCATATCCTCAACAGCATGTGTTGTCATTTTGGTTTCAAATTATTAACAATGGGCAGCAAGGGGACAGAATCTCGTGGCAGTTTAAATTTTCATTTTCCTATTGGCTACATAAAAATGCATTGAACTGTTAATTTGGCCTTTTGTATTTTTTCTTTAGAGAACTATTTATCTTATTATTGGATTATTTATTATTGAACGATCTGGAATTTTTGATGTTTAATTTCTGCAGTTCTTTATGTGACCTAGATAAAAAAAAATCCCTATTTGCCTATGCAGTTGGCAGAGTTTTTTCCCCGCTGTTCTCTGGGTTGTCTCTTTTCCAACGACCATTTCCTGTTCTATAGGTGGTCTTTTCTTCTATGATCATTTCCTAATTCCACTTGTCAAGTCTTGAATTTTTTCCTTTACTATTCATGTTTTATTTTCAGAAAACCCTTGCCTATGCTTCTATCTGGAAGTTTTCCTCCTGTTTTACTGTAGGGATTTCAAAGTTCCAAGTCTTATGTCTAGGTCTCTGAACCATCTTGAAATGACTTTTTTTCCTGAAGCAGAAGAGATATGGATCAAGATTCATTTTTCTATGTATGATAATCATACCCCAGTTTCCCCAGCACTGTTTGGAAAAGAGGCTGTAATTTCTTGAATGCATGTTTTTAACAGTTTTGTCAAAAATCACTTAGCTGAAACTGCAAAAGTATATTTTTTAATTTTTATTCTATTTCATGTGTCTATATCTCTGTTTTTGTGCTAAAACCATGCTGTTACTACTACAAGTATGTAATATAATTTAGAACCAGTTATTGTTATACCTCCAGCATGTTTATGTCTGCTAAGGCTTGCTTGATTTGGATCTTTTATGCTTCGTTTAAATTTAGGATTCTTTCATCTGGTTATGTGAAGAGCATCATTGGAATGTTGATGAGAATTTCATTGAATCTCTAGATCACTTTCAGAAATATAGACATTTAAGCAATTTTAATTCTTCCCAGTTTTTGCCACAGAGGTGTCTCCACTCTCCTGACTCCTGGATTGTTGTAAACACTTCAGTTCCTGCCTTCTCCTTGCATAACGCTCTCCTGCTGTGTGTCTGCTTGTCAGTGACATCCCGCCTTTATGTGCCTTGACTATTTATGATCTCACTCACAGTGAATGAGGGTCCAGTCTGCGATAACATAATACTCTTTTAGTTACATCTAAAAAAATGACTCTGTTTCTAGATATCACATTCAGGGATGCTGGCAGCAAAGATTCCAACAGAGCTTTGCTTAGGGAGATGACACAGTTCAACTCTTAACTATCATCACATTAAAATTTATCTCTTCGTCTTTTTCTGAACAGTCTGTTTTTGAGTACTTTGTTTTATATCTCTGTTATCAAGTCACTGAAGCTTTTAGAATAGTCTCCCTTTCCCCTTTTATACAGAAAGCTCCACATCATTGAGGTTTTATGGGATAAAATGTTTTTTATCTTTCCCTTTTGCTATTATTTCCACTCTTAGCTCAGACTCTTGCTGTTTCTAGTTGAGATCTTAGGATGTATTTCTAACTGCTACCTCCTCCCCCTCGTTCTTTCTCCTCACCCTGTTCCTCCTCCCTTCCCATTGCTCCTCCTGTTCCTCTTTCTCTGACACCAGTCTACTCTGTGCTTTTCTAGGCAGTTCATTCTTTCCTAAGGTGCATTTCTGGTCCTGTTTCTCTCTTGCTCCAGAATATCCAGGGCCTTCTCCAAATTAAATCTCTGAAGCTGACCTCTTGGGAAGTAAAGGTTGTATGTTTTGATATTTCCTCTTTATACTTAGTTCTTACAACTCTATGCCATAGTCATAATCTAATTCAAATTCCTGTGAGTTGTCAAGACACAGAAAATTTCTACCCTATCTTAAATCATACTCATCGATTTTACTGAAACCACCCCCGTCTATTTCTATTCTCATGGTTTTTATGTTGACTACCCTCCAAAGGTACACTTAGAGAAAGTTCTGTTGACCCTCAAGAGGTAAGATACAGTGAGAGATCCTCGGGACATCCTACAGCAGGACTGTGGAACCCAGTTTGTATCTCTATCTCTGTCTATCTGTCTATCTCTGCTTTGGTTAGGTATATGACTCTTAATTCAGACATGTGGTACTCCTATGAGGGACAGCCACCACAGTCCTCACCATATGTCAAACCAAAGACCATGAACATTGGACTCTTCCCCAACTATGAGAAGAAAAAATCATAACCCAAAGAAATATTTCATCTCTAAAAGTTACCTGAATCAGGCATTTTGTTGCAGCAATGCTAAGCTGACTAATGTAACATGAGGGCCGGCTTGTTGGGGTATCTGTTCCTGCTTGGTACCCCACAGCCAGCAAGTCCCAGAGAAAATCAATCACACAGAGATCTCTATAAGTTATAAAGATGATTGGCACATTGTCTCAGGCTTCTTGTTAACTCTTATAGCTTATATTAACCCATTATTCTGATCTATGTTAGCCATATGGCTTGGTACCTTTTTCAGATGTCAGCTCACATGATGCTTCTTCAGTGGTCTGTGCAGGAATGGCAGAGGGAGCTTCCTGCTTCCCAGAATACTCCTGTTCTCTTTGCTCCACCTCTACTTCCTGTCTGGTTTCCCCGCTTATACTTCCTGCCTGACCAATCAGCATTTATTTAAAACATGATTGACAGAATACAGACAATTCTCCCGTACCAGACTAATATATACCTGTAGCTTTTAAATGATCAAGGATTCTTCATTGTCCTTGGAAATGCCATCTTCTCCCAGGGTTTTCATTCAGACACCCTCTTAATTTGAATCTCAAGTACCTTAGGACCTGACTTAAGCAATTTGTCTTATGCTACCTTGTATTTGATGATTTGCACACAAGTATTTTACCAACCACCCTCTAAATTGCAGAATCCTTTAAAGCAGAGATACATATCTGCTCTGTTTTGTTTTCCACAATGGCCTAACATACTCTGATCTCTTAGTACAAGAGCTGAGTTGCTACTGATTAGAACATTTAAGAAGAGTTCACAGCACACATTTAATTAAGAAAAACTAGGGGTTAGATATCCAAATGCAGGAAATGCCACTGATTAAACTTATTAGATATTGGGGATATGTTCCTGCAGGAGGTGCTGTCAAGTTGTTGAAGGGGCAATGTCTTGGTTTTCACTCAGAGCAGTTCCCCACCAAAGGGTTGGCATTTTTTACTTTTTATTTCCCCAGGCATATGGGATATGGGTTGTATTTTTCTCTGAAAATAGAAGATGTGGCAATTGGATCAATTTCTAGGACATATAACTTATCTGGATCAACCTAATGTTCTGTATATAAAAATGTCCCAAAAGAAGCATCATTTTTAATTTGAGAATTTTATTTTTACATAAATGTCACTTTTGCTATTATAGCAACCAGTTTGAAAAAGTATATCTTTACTTCATTGAGTTATATAGACTAAACTTTAAACATACTTGTTGAACTCAGACCTTATTATTGGTGTCAGCTATTCATATATACATTGATAATGAATTCACTTGGTAAAATGTGTTTCTAAAATTCCTTTGATCATTGTTAGTTAGAGTATAATCCCGTCATGATAAGTACTCTGTGCCACAAAGTTGCTTCATGGTGATGAGGGATTTGGGCTCTGAGTTTGATGTAGGAGGTCCTTCTGTATTTGCGTAGCTTTCATGGTTGAATAAAGAAACTGCCTTGGCCTTTTGATAGGGAAGAGTTTAGGTAGATGTGGAAAAGAAAACTGAATTCTGGGAGGAAGAAGACAATATGGCAGACACCATGGTTCTCCTGCCCGAGATGGACGCTGGTTAGACTCATGCTGGTAAGCCACAGGTCATATGGCGATACAGATTATTAAAAATGGGTTAAATCAAGATGTGAAAGTTAGCCAATAAGAGGCTAGAGATAAAGGGCCAGGCAATAATTTGATTATTACAATTTCTGTGTAATTATTTGGGGGTTAAGCTAGCTGGAGCTAGGAGCTGAAAACTCCTCAACTACATGAGTTTTCACTCTTCTCTATCACTAGCTAATGGAGCAGTGAGCCACTGTGGACCCACATTTTCTCAAGTGTAAAGTGGAGTTGTTAACATCTGGCTCAAAAGTTGTTATGAGAATCAAATGAGGTAATTTATGTAAAACTATGTTAGCAGGCACTTAGTGAATTTCTATTGAAATTATTGTGTTTTAATAATAATGTTAATACTAAGCAATGCCTAGTAAGTTTCATGGAAAGTAAAGTCTTTAAAGTCTCCAAA